CCACCCACAGAACTCTCCTCCCAGACCCTGCACCCCAATCTCCTCCCCGAGGGGTAATCCAAGCCCCTGGCCTGACCCCCCCAACCCCAGTAAAATGTCTGGTATTTTCAGTTTCTCAGCTGGAAAGCCACTTGGGACATTCTTCCCCTGCCATGTGGAAGGGAGTGTGAGATTTAAAGGTGCCATGATTTTTTTTTTGGGGGGGAGGGTGCTTTTTTTGCTCAACATTTGGACACCCCCCCTTTTTATTAATGCAGAATTTTGTTTAAAAATGAATTACAAGATAATTAAAATAAAAAGTATCCAACTAAATTAAGTTTCTATCAAATGTACCCAATTCACATTTAATATGAAAATAGCCTTCAATTTCACATTTGATGCCTTTTTCTGTTGGCGCCCGCCACACTCTTCTGAAAACATGAATGTGGTATTGGCCACAAAAAGGTTGGGGACGACTAATCTAGACAGTACGTGGGATTGCTGTGAGGGCAGGGGCTGGACTCAATGACCTCTTGAGGTCCCTTCCAGTTCTAGTGTTCTATGATTCTCACAGTGCACCAGTAAAAGAGATGCAAACAGGAATTGTACCTGAAGCTGAACGTTTTTGGTGTTCATGTCTGGATATGTGATTCTTAGCCTCATGGGGCCAGATACTAAGCAGATATAAATTGGCATAGAGATACATTCATTTACACCAGCTGAGAATCGGGTCCAAGTTATTTAAAATCAACAATACATACTATTGGCATGCTGATAAGAACCTGTATTTTTCTTCTTGGAACATCCTCTTTAGGTCTGTGAAATGGGAAAAAATGAACTGAACACTTATCTTCAGGTCAGCAACCTTTAGGGGATGCTGGAGAATTCTCTCAGGAATGAGTTTTTTACTCCAACCAAAACATCTGACGACCAGAGACTAGATTCTCATCTCACTAAATCTGGAAAACTCCACTGCCTTCTCTTCTTATAATAGGGTAAGAACCCGAGCCCAGGATGAGGAAGTGAGCATGTGGCCTGCTTCATCTAAAATGAATGATGGGGAGTCCTCTTTTTACCTGTTGTTCTAGCTGTCAGACAACCTTCACCCCTGTGGAATGAACACAATCAGAACGAGACGTGCAAGCTAATGGGGGAGGGGAAAGCAGCAGCTTTTACAAATGGCTTTGAAGGTTAAGAAAGGGAGCAGCGCTATCCAAAAGCCACTCCCTACCCAGCTCCCATGCTAGGCTTTCGGGGGAGGGATAGCTTGGTGGTTTGAGCATTACCCTGCTAAACCCAGCTTTGTGAGCTCAATCCTTGAGGGGTCCATTTAGGGATCTGGGGCAAATCTTCCAGGAATGGTACTTGGTCCTGTCATGAGGGGAGAGGACTGGACTTGATGACCTCTCAAGGTCCCTTCCAACTCTATGAGAACTTTAGGCTCCATGCTGATGCCTAATTGGCTTGCAGCTGATGTCACTTTTCTTGCTGACTAAAGAGCAGAGCTACAAGGATACTGGAAAGACACACTAGTGTTTTCAGAGCAAAACTCCAAGTCAGTTTAGTTGGGGACACCAGTGCTGCTGGGTGTTTTCAGTGTCCCCAACTGCTGCTGTTGATTCCAAGAGAGACCAAGAACTGAGCTAGCAGAGACTAGCATGAAAGCAAGTCTCACTGACTTTAGGGGTGACCTGCAAGCCTCATCTACTTACTGAAGCATGAGCTAGCAGAGACTAGCATGAAGTAAGTCTCACTGACTTTAGAGGTGACCTGCAAGCCTCATCTACTTACTGAAGCAATCCCGCCACAGCCAAGACTGAGCGCTCAGAGCCTAGGATGGGCACAGAGCAGAATTCCAACCCAAGTTCACTGCAAGCACTGGCAAATGGAGCTTACCTGTTTCATGCATGGGTACCAGAGAGAAGGGTGCTTTTAAAAAACAAACAAACCTTAGACAGTGCCTATGGCCACTTTAATTAATTAAGGAAACTTCGCTTTAGCTCCATGGTTTCATAAAGCAGAACTTGAGGATGAGCTTAGTATGGTGAAAAGTGTCTTATACTTACAAAAAAAAGATAGCAGCTTGATTAGATATAGGGCCTGATTCAACAAACTCCCACTGCAACCCAGGGGAGTTTTGCCCATATTAAGCCTGCAGCTTTGGAGCTCCGCAGTGTGCAAACAATCGCATGGACAGTATTAAAAGGTTACAAGAACGCACTGCTTGCTGACTCCTCCCAGCCAGAAATGTGCTGAAATACAAGCATTCAGTCCTTTACAATATAATGTTCTTCTCTGTTTCTCACCTTCTCCTGCAAATGCTAAGAAAACAAAACAATCTGGGAGATAGCTACATAGTGGGCCCCTTTGCATTTCTAGTCTCTGGAGCTACTGTTGGACTGTCCCCCTACTGTACTCCAGAAGTATTCTGAATGTCCTGCTTTAATTCTTCTCTTGCTTGTGCTGCCTCAAAGCTTGTAGGAAAATCTCCTTCACCTGGCTCATTGTCTCTTGGTACAGTTTGAAGTCTTCCTCTTTTTTTTCCATGGTGCTCTCCAGGGCCATCTTCAAGGCTTCGTTCTCATCCAGCTGGATCGCAAGCCTGTGCGAATGCAAAGAGGAAACTTTCATTCCACCTGTGAAGCGCTGGAGTAAATGGGAGCTGCGCTTCAGCCGCACGGGCAGGAACTCTGAAACGCTCGCTGGGATCTCACAACAAGGAGGGAGAAATATCAGGCTTTTGAGCACTTGTTTCCCAGCCTCTTGAGACAAAGGGGCATTCTGAAGTCAGGATAACAGAGATCTATTTTGCTACCGACACGCATCCAACTCCCATGAACATGCATTGGGTAATAAAAGGCTCCTTTCTTTATGTCTATCTAGCATTCCTGAATCTGTGTTGGTATAATTATTATGCGATTTTAAGCCTCTGATGCCAGAAGCTAGGAGTGACAGGGGATGGATTACTCAATAACTGCTCTATTCTGTTCTTTCCATGGAAGCATCTGCCAATGGCCACTGTAGAAAGACAGGACATGGGGCTACTGGACCATTGGTCTGACCCAGTATGGTCGTTCTTATAATGCTGTCAGATTCTTGCCAACGAAGACGAAAAGGCAGGGTGCACCAGAGACGCTCTACGGGAGCGGAGCTGTCAGACGAAGACAAAAAGGCAGGGTGCACCAGAGACGCTCTACGGGAGCGGATTTACACCAGCTGAGGTGGCCTAGAGAATCATGAGCCCAAAGGGGGGGCTGGTTTAACCTGCATGAGGACAGGACTAATCTTAGTCCCATTTCAAAGAAGTTGAAGATGATACAGAATATGAAAAGAAAAGCCATACCTTGTAGTCAGTTCCTCTATCTGAGATTTCAGTGGCACTTCTGAGAGCTGGGCTGTGGTGAGGTCTTTCCTATCACTCACAGTCAGGATAGGTCTGGCGCTATTAGCAGACTGACCTGTAAATTTAATCACAGCATGGAGTTCCATTACAGGACAAAGGCAAATCTTTGCAGTCCACAGTGCACAGCTTTACAGTAAAACCCAAGAGATGGAGGATAAATATTAGGTCAGCGTGTGGCCAGTCTGAGCACATGCATGGCAGTCATGTAAGTACACAGGGTAGATTTATGTCAATTCCTTTCAGTAAAATTGTAAACACGATCAGAGGAGAGAGTATAGGAAGGAATAAAATTATTATATATAAAATAATGTGCAAGTACCCAACCTCTAGGAGAAGCAAACTGAATGTGATTATTTTTTAAGCTTATCCTGAAATTGAATTTCACTCAGTACTACAGTGACTGGTGCCCTTTAAATATCTGAAAGAAATGAATATCTGCGTGTTACACACAGAAACCAGCTTCATATAGCACTTTGGGATCTTTGCAATGACAGCAATTATGGCGTCAGTGCAGGAAAGCACTTAAGCATGTGCCTGAAGTTACGTGCTTTCCTGAATGAGTGGCTATATGAACAAGAACACGTCTTGTGGATAAGGGAGATGCGGTGGATGTGTTATACCTAGGCTTTAGTAAAGTTTTTGATGTGGTCTCACATGAGCTTATCAATAAACTAGGGAAATACAACCTAGATGGGGCTACTATAAGGTGGGTGCAGAACTGGCTGGATAACTGTTCGCAAAGAGTAGTTATTAATGGTTCACAATCCTGCTGGAAGGGTATAACAAATGGGGTTCCGCAGAGCTCTGTTTAGGGACCGCTGCTGTTCAATATCTTCATCAATGATTTAAATGATGGCCTAGAGAGTACACTTATTAAGTTTGCAGATGATAACAAGCTGGAAGAGGTTGCAACTACTTTGGAGGACAGGGTCATGATTCAAAATGATCTGGACAAACTGGAAAAATGGTCTGAGGTAAATAGGATGAAGTTTAATAATGACAAATGCAAAGTACTCCACTTAGGAAGGAAAAATCTGTTTCACATATACAGAATGGAAAGCGACTGTCTAGGAAGGAGCACTGCAGAAAAGGATCTATGGGTCATAGTGGACCACAAGCTAAATATGAGTCAACAGTGTGATACTGATGCAAAAAAATGCTAAAATGATTGTCGGATGCATTAACAGGAGTGTTGTGAGTAACACATAAGATGTTATTCTTCTGCTCTACTCTGCACTGATTAGGCCTCAGTTGGAATATTGTGTCCAGTTCCGGGCACCACATTTCAAGAAAGATGTGTAGAAATTGGAGAAGGTCCAAAGAAGAGCAAAAAAATGATTAAAGGTCTAAAAAACATGAGCTTGAGGCACAGCTGAAGGAATTGGGCTTGTTTAGTTTGGAAAAGAGAAGACTGAGAGAAGACATGATAGCGGTTTTCAAGTATTTAAAAGGGTGTCACAGGGAGGAGGGGGGAAAATTGTTAGGACAAGAAGCAATGGGCTTAAACTGCAGCTAGGAAGATTTAGGTTAGACACTAGGAAAAACTTCTGTACCTGTCAGGGTGGTTAAACACTGGAATAAATTGCCTAGGGAGGTTGTGGAATCTCCATCTCTGGAGATATTTAAGGGAAAGTTGAATAGACATCTATTAAGGATTATATAGACCATGCTTGGTCCTGTTGTGAGGGCAGGGGACTGGACTTGATCTCTCGAGGTCCCTTCCAGTTCTAGTGTTCTATAGTTCTATGAAAGTTTCCAACAATTAAGATAGATGGGGAAAACTCATAGCCAAAGCAATTCTGAAATGTACCACGGCTTAACCCTTCCTTTTGGAAATGCAGCAATTGGTGAATAGATACGGAAGTAAAATACATGAGAAAAACCAGTTACAAAATATGAGGGAGAAGATGCTTTTGCCCTGTTATCTTAGAGAACTGATCAGCAAACACTTCAGTATTTACCTACCTCCCCACTGGATTTTACTAAGCAAACCGGGAGTAATTGCTCTGCACTTTTAATTTGAACAAGGAAACAAAAACAAAAACAGGAACACTTTTAGAGACAAAAAAGTGTTGCTTTTGTATTATATACCAACCATGCTCTGCTACCGCTAGAACCTAAATTCTCTGCCTGAGAGAGAATAATCTGGCAGAAATATTACTAGGAGAAACTAAAAAACAACAAATGGTCTGGTAGCACTTTTAGACCATTTGTTGTTTTTTAAGTTTATTCTGTACAGACTAACTTAGCTACCCCCTGAAGCAGGAGAAACTAAGTTCACTGCTAAAGGATTAAATTCAAGACTTGTCAATTTGCTGCTTGTATAAACGCTAGATGATGTTAAACCACTATGAGGGACTGAGAACAACTGAAAAAACCCGACAGACTTTGGGGAATAGGGTTACTATAAGTTTAAGGTTATGGATTTAGGCCTAGAGACTCACAATTATTTTTAGGAGCCTAACTCCCATTGATTTCAATACCTTTCTATACCAATTCCTGTAATTTAATAGCTATGATACTAGTCTTTATTCAAACAGAATTTGGTCCCGATGTACACAGGGATAATGAGCTAACCTTTAATATACAGAGAATCTTTCATTTCAAAGTACCTTACAAACTGATATATGCGGCCTGTGCTTTGTCCAGCTATGAAATGCTGAAGCACAGAACTGTTAACACTGCACAATAACTGGATAAAATGGCATAGATCAGGAAGCGCGGAACACTGTCTTTATTTGTGATAGCAGGGAAATGTAAGTGGTTAGCCTATAGAGTAATATATCTCTAAGGGCAACAACGGCCAGGATCTCTGTTTTATATCTCGTCCAAAAGGCAGCTCCTTCAACAATGCACTTTAATAGTTTATGGGGACATGGACTCAGAGGAAAAAGAGCAACATCCAGCAAATAACCAACACCACTCCCCGTGTCACCTGGACATTCCTTAGAGCTTTCTCAGATAAATATGGACCTGACCAAGTTCACCACACTCAGCTCAGATGAAGTACAGAGACATGTGCTAAGGCCGCAAAAGAAACTCTCCCTTCCATCAAAACCAAGCAAACCATTCCAGGCCTAAAGAGAAAAAGGAAGTGTGTGTAGGGAGAGGAAAGAGGTGGACAGGGTACAAAGAACATATTGAACCAGTTAGACATGAGGGAGATCAGTTCCTTACCAAATAGAAGTGGTGATCCCTTGGTAACATACTGGCTGTGTCTAGACTGGCGAGTTTTTCCGGAAAAGTGGCTGCTTTTCTGCAAAAACTTGCCAGCTGTCTACACTGGCCACTTGAATTTCCGCAAAAGCACTGACTTCCTACTGTAAGAAATCAGTGCTTTTTGTGGAAATATTATGCTGCTCCCGTTCGGGCAAAAGTCCCTTTTGTGCAAAATTTTTGCGCAAAAGGGCCAGTGTAGACAGCTGAGATTTGTTTTGTGCAAAAAAGCCCCGATTGCGAAAATGGCGATAGGGGCTTTTTTGCGCAAAAGAGCGTGTAGATTGGCCACGGATGCTTTTCTGCAAAAAGTGCTTTTGCGGAAAAGCGTCCGTGCCAATCTAGACGCTCTTTTCCGAAAATGCTTTTAACGGAAATCTTTTCCGTTCAAAGCATTTCCGGAAAATGATGCCAGTCTTGACACAGCCCCTCTGTATATTTAAAGTACATACAAAAAGGGAAACCATTGTAAAAGTTTCCATAAGAATATATACCAGTGTTTTTTAAACTTTTTGAGCCTGAGGAACACCAAACAACAATTTTTTTTAAATGGGGAACACCAAGGATTTTTTTTGTTGAGGGAAAAAAAAAACAGCTCCCAAGGGAAAATCTGTCGAGCAAAAAAAAAGAAAAAAACACCGGACCAGGAGGGAGGGTGCAGGAGGGGACTTGGGGCAGGGTGTCAGAGCAAGCTGGGAATGTGGGGCTTGGCAAAGGGAGGGGAGTGAGGGGGGTTTGGGTGCGGGGTCTGGGCATGAGGGGGGATGCTTACCTGGCTTGGCACCCTGCTGCAGCAAGGAAAGCCTCCAGGGAGCATGCTCTTGTTCCTCAAGGGGGGAGGGGTGTGGAGGGCTCAGTCCCCCCTCCCCCTCCAATGCAGTAGGGAACCCAGCAAAGCTGCAGCACCAGGCCAGACTTCCTACTGGCGGGGGGGGGGGGGGAAGAGCAGAAACCCCGACCGTCCCCATCAGATTAAACTCTGCCACTTCCCCAGCAGGCTGGGGAGGAGTGCAGGGGAGAGACAGCAGCAGCGCTTGGGGGCAGCAGAACCTGAGCGCACCCCAGTTTGGGGGAGTGAGGCGGCAGAGCCTGAGCTGAGTTCCCCGCAGGCAGCAGTTTTAAAACGCCAAGGTCCAGGAGCAGCTCCTCAGCTCTGGCCACTCCTTCCCCTCCCCTGAGAAAGCGTTAAGAAACGCTGATATATACAGTTTTATTGGTTTCAGACATTTATAGGATTACAGTCCATTAGCAAGAAAGAAACTCATCAAGTAAATGAAAAGTTAACTTTCCACAATGAACTTTTCTTCTTTGTTACTGGGTCTTTCATATTTATAGCTGCAGATTCTCATGCTTTAGTGGTAATAAATTACATGGGATCTAATTACTTCAAGTCCAGCAATAGTTTTTCATAGACACTGACAGGCCTTAAATTGGGGTGTATCATTTAATTCTGTTCTTAATTTAACCTTCAACTGAACCTTTCAAGCAAAGAGCAGAGAGGACAGAATGCGAGAGTTGGTGGCAGTGCACAGCAGCTTCAAGTATCTGCCTTAGGCCCTGACCCTGCCTGGATACTATGGGTGAAATCCTGGCCCCACTGAAATCAGTGGCCAACTCCCCATTCGGTGGGACCAGAATTACTACATTGGCTTTGGCACAAGCTTGGGGTTCTAGATGTGAGCCACATCTCCTGGCGGCCACATGTGGCAGCAGACTCCTGGGCACTCTTTATGCCATGCGCTCCTCACCTGTTTTGTTCCTTGGGAGGGGTTTCTGGGTGTTTGCATTCTTCCCTGCATCCATTTTCAGTTTTTCAAGATGCTGCTCCAAAACGACCGATCGCCGTCGCTCTTCCTGAAGCTTCTTCTCGGCTTCCAAAACTTTATTGCTGCTTTCGACCACCCTGAGGTTCAAAATAGGTGGTTCAATTTTTATGCACAGGCCATGAGGTCTCCAGGACTATCCAGCCTCAGTTTCAATTCTGCCTTATAATCAGATGAATGGGAGACTAGTACATTCATCCCAGGGCAGGGATCCCAGTGCAATTCATCCAGCTGGCATCCGCCGTGTTTGTGAGATGGAGTTAGCTAAGGAGTGTGGGGTTCAGTTATATTTTATGGAGAATTATTTTACTGATGGAAGTTGCCCTGGTCCTTTAGCAATGGACACACTAAGCTTTCCATACAAACAACTACTGAAGATGGAAGTCGTTGAGGGCAGACGGATAATTGTATCCATAACAAACTGCTTCTGTTTTTAATGCTTTGGGCTAACACAGAATCCCTCAGAAAAGGGCAACTAAAATGATTAGTATCAGAGGGGTAGCCGTGTTAGTCTAAATCTGCAAAAGCGGCGAGGAGTCCTGTAGCACCTTATAGACTAACTGAAGTGTAGGAGCATAAGCATGTGGGTCATGCATCTGACGAAGTGGGTCTTTGCCCACGAAAGCTTATGCTCCTACACTTCAGTTAGTCTATAAGGTGCTACAGGACTCCTCGCCGCTTTTGCAGATTTAGACTAACACGGCTACCCCTCTGATACTAATCATTTTAGTTGCCCTTTTCTGAGGGATTCTGTGTTAGCCCAAAGCATTAAAAACAGAAGCAGTTTGTTATGGATACAATTATCCGTCTGCCCTCAACGACTTCCATCTTCAGTAGTTGTTTGTATGGAAAGCTTAGTGTGTCCATTGCTAAAGGACCAGGGCAACTTCCATCAGTAAAATAATTCTCCATAAAATATAACTGAACCCCACACTCCTTAGCTAACTCCATCTCACAAACACGGCGGATGCCAGCTGGATGAATTGCACTGGGATCCCTGCCCTGGGATGAATGTACTAGTCTCCCATTCATCTGATTATAAGGCAGAATTGAAACTGAGGCTGGATAGTCCTGGAGACCTCATGGCCTGTGCATAAAAATTGAACCACCTATTTTGAACCTCAGGGTGGTCGAAAGCAGCAATAAAGTTTTGGAAGCCGAGAAGAAGCTTCAGGAAGAGCGACGGCGATCGGTCGTTTTGGAGCAGCATCTTGAAAAACTGAAAATGGATGCAGGGAAGAATGCAAACACCCAGAAACCCCTCCCAAAAGCAAAGCAGTAAAAGTGTTCTAACAGCATTATCTGGTATTTTGTTCTGGTCTCTTATGTAAATAGCAAAGGGCTCCATAAGATTCTCCTTGAAATGAAGAGAAACTCATAGACTGTAAGGCCAGAAGAGACCATCCTGGTCACCTAGCCTCAGCTCCTGAACATTGCAGGACACAGAATCTCACCCACCCACTCCTGGGTGTTGCCTTTTATTAACTCAGCCACTAGAAGGTATGTTGAAAAAACAGGCATGGCACCAAAGGCATTGAGAAGCCATGAGACTTTGCAACTGGAGCAAGTGATGCGGGGCGAGGGCATTAACAATGCAGTTAATGGGCATCATGTAGTGCTGGGCTATTGAAGGCCATTCCGTGGAAACATCTTTATTTCATAGCTCCCCCATGCAGCACCTTAAATGATTAATCAGAAAATATCACATAGGACCACAGGAGCTGCCAAACTGCATCAGACTAATGATGTAGTCTATCTAGGACTGTGGCTGACTCCAAAAGATTCATGGGAAATTGTCAAAACCATAATGAACCTCCCCTGTTGTACAGTGCTATGAAGAGAAGAGCAATTTCCTTCTTGATCTCTGGAAGTGATCACTTACTTCTTTAAAAATAATCAAATCTATTGCTTATTACTCTCTCAGCTTGCATAGCTAAAAGTGTTAGAAGAAGCATAAAATTATGCAGTTCTTTTATCAGTCCAGCCACAGCAGCTCACGTGGCAGCGAATCTCCACAGGCTGCTAACATGCTGCATACAGTAGTATATCACTGCCCTTTCATTTAATCGAGTGTCCCCTAGGTCTCGTATTAGACAGAAGGTGTGAAGGGGAGTGACTGATCAGTTTTTGTGACAACCCTCACCAATATGAACTGCTCAAATCAAGTCCCTCTAGCTCAGTGGTTTCCAAACTTTTCGGCATCACGCCCCCTTTTTGATTTCTGAGAAACCCTCACGCCCCTCCACCCCCAGCAATACTTGTTGAGCAAAAAAAAAATAGCAGCAAAACTTGGCAGGGGAGGGGTGGGATTTGTAAATCCTGCAAATATTTACTGCTAGAAGATTTACTTGGCTTTGCTTAGGTCCTTAACTCAATTAATCTTTTTGTTTTTCTTCATTTAAATGCTCTGGGATGGGAGTGGGGATGAGGGATTCAGTGTGCAGGCTGCCCCAGGGAGAAAGGACTACACCAGCCCTTCTCACCACCACAGCTTGTGGCCAGGTGAAAAGCACCTCCCTATGTCCACTGCAGCTCCAGTGGGAACAAACAAGTTCGTCCGCCCCCTGAACTCTCCAACCAGTGTGAGGAATGCAGAAAACCATGCACTTTGCCCTCGTTCCCTGACAAAACGGGATAGGCAGTAATGTCCCTGTATGAATCAGGGAGAGAGGAGCTTCAGCTCTACCACCCTCCCTAAAGGGCACTTAGGGGGTGGAAGGCTCAGGGTTGGGGCAGACCTGGGTGGGGCAGCAGGCACCCCCAGCCAACACCTTTCACTTGTCTGGTGACCCTGTCTCTTTTCTGTTTGGTCTTATGAGAAATAATCCCATTCCAGGCACATCCCATATTCGTGGCACAACCAAACCCTGACCCTGCTTTAAGCTATGATAAGGGGATTGTGACCGGGTGGCGCAACCCCATCACCCACAGACGCCGGGAGACACGAGCGCCAGCGGTGAGGCAGCTGGATTAGCCCCGGCTGCGCCGGCACGCCCGGAAGTCGGGGGCGGTGGAGATCATCACCGCGCGCCGGGGACGCCCGATGACGTCACCGGCGCGACCAGAGCGAGAGGGGCGGGGCACCCGGAAATGGACAGGGAGGAGGCAGACGAGGCCGGGGATAAGAAGGCCTGGCTTGGGGGCCGGAGGGGGGGAAGAGGAGCTCGCCCAGGACGGCGCAGGTGATGGGCAGGAAGGGGTCACGTCCAAAGGGGGAGGCCTAGGGTGAGCTCCCGACCCGCAACTCGGGTCCAGGGCATGGTTGGCAAGACCAGCCACTGGGGTGGGACAGGCCCAGGGAGGGTCGCAGAACCCGTGAGCAGGCGCATTTAGGGGTGAATCCCCACCTGCTACCATCGGGAGTTGAACTCCTGGTGTTAGGGCCCTGGGTCAGGGTCCGGAGCAAGGGTGGGCCCGGAACTCTCACCCCGCCCGGGAGAGCGACACCTGCATAACCAGCGTTGTCAGTGGCGCACCAGACAAGGAGACCTGGGGTTCGACGGGGACCTTGTCACACGTGGTGGAGAATGTGGGCCGCGATCTGCGCCCTGTAGTAAGGGCAAGGAGACGAAGGAGTCGCAACTCTTGTCATTTACAGAGGAAACGCGATGGAGGCGAGCAAGATTCTCGAGTGGCTGGGGGGGAACCAGCGCCAGCTGCAGCAGCAGCAGACTGAGGTTCTGCAGCAGGTTACAACTGAATTTCAGAAACAGCAACGACAGCTAATCAACAAGCTGAAGGAAGGAGGTAGCGTGAGTGCGGAAGGCCGGACCCCAGGTACGGGACCTATGGGGAGAGACGACGAAGGGGCAATAGGTGTCAGACTCCCGATTAGGTTGGCCAAGCTGGGGCCCGAAGATGATGCAGAAGCATCCTGGTGATGTTTGAGAGGGTGGCCACGGCGGCCCGATGGCCCCAGGAGCATTGGGCCACGATACTAGCCCCCTACCTCTCAGGCCCAGCACAGTTGGTGTACCGGGGTATGTCGGACCGGGAAGCCCTGTGCTATTGTAAAGTAAAGAAGGCAATATTACACCAGCTGGGGATCTCCCCCGAGACCTATAGACAAAAATTCCGGGCCTCCAAGTACGCTGCGGGGGAATGTCACCGAGCGGTGGCCCAGCGAATTAAGGAGGCCAGCCTGCGCTGGTTGGAACCAGCTACCAAAACGGCATCGCAGGTCGCCGACCTGGTGATTCTGGAGCAGTACCTGCAGGTGCTGCCTCCCGAGGGGCAGCGCTGAGTACGTCGCCATCTCCCCGGGACCCTAGAAGAGGCCGTCATGTTAATAGAACATTTTATGGCCGCAGAGGGCATGGAAGAAAGGGATAAATCGGGGGCGGGGGCGAGCCCAGTCGGGCGAGGCGGCCCTAGCTCACGGGGGAAGGAGACCCGGAATGATGGAGGACTAGGCCCAAGGATCACGCCCGGCCGAGGCACGGAACGGAGGTTAGCCCGGGGGGAAGAGGAGCTCGCCCGGGACGGCGCAGGTGGGGAGGGCCTAGGGTGAGCTCCCGACCCGTGACTGGGGTCCGGGACATGGTCGGCAAGACCCGCCGGTGGGGTGGGACAGGCCCAGGGAGGGTCGCAGAACCTGTGAGCAGGCGCGTTTAGGGGTGAACCCCCACCTGCTACCATCGGGAGTTGAACTCCTGGTGTTAGGGCCCTGGGTCGAGGTCTGGAGCGAGGGTGGGCCCGGACTCCTCACACCGCCCGGGAGGGTGACACCCACATAACCAGCGTCGTCAGTGGCGCACCAGACAAGGAGACCCGGGGTTCGACGGGGACCTTATCACAGGGATACTGAATTCGGTGGTCCTAGCTCTTAGTGTTTAGGGGGAGTTCTTGGACAGAAAGACAGACAAACAAACTCTCTCAAATACATAGTAGATTGAGGAGTCCTGTGGCACCTTATAGACTAACAGATTTATTGAAGCATAAGCTTTTGTAGGCAAAGACCCACTTCATCAGATGCATCTGACAAAGTGGGTCTTTGCCCATGAAAGTTTATGCTCCAATAAATCAGTTAGTCTATAAGGGTATGTCTACACTACAGCGCTAGTTCGAACTAACTTAGTTCGAATTAGTTAATTCGAACTAAGCTAGTTCGAACTAACGCATCTAGAACTAAAAACTAGTTCGAACTAGCGTTTTGCTAGTTCGAACTAGTAAGTCCACATTGAGTGGACTCTGAACAGGGCTTAAGGATGGCCGGAAGCAGTGCCGGCAGGGCATAAAAGGAGGACTTAGAGCATGGAGATACTGTCTCAGGCTAGCCGAGGGCTGCGCTTAAAGGGTCCCGACCCCCACCCCGGACACACAGTTCTAAGGGGTGCCCCGCTTGCAAAGAAGTTCTGGCTTGGAGTGCCCTGAGTGCCCACACTGGGCACATCACACCACTCGGCCATCAGCCCGGCTGCACTTGCCGCAGGCTGCCATCTGGGGAGAGGGAGTAATTGGGGGGCTGCAGGAGAGCTTCCACCCCCAGAAGCCCGCAGAGCCAGCCCAGTCCTCCCCATCGGGGGCTCGTACCCCATTCCTCCCTCACCTCCTTCCACTTACCCTTCCCTAGCCCCCCTTCTTATTGATGTACAAAATAAAGATAACGTTTCTTCCAACATTGACTCTGTCTTTATTGAAAAAAACTGGGGGAGACTGGGAAAAGGAGGTGGGAGAGGGGAAGAGAAAGGCTGGGAGAGGGGAGGGCAACTAACATGATCAGGGGTTGGGAACAGGTCCCAGATGAAGAGAGGCTACAGAGACTGGGACTGTTCAGCTTAGAAAAGAGGAGACGGAGGGGGGACAGGATAGAGGTCTCTAAAAGCAGGGGTTGGGTGGAGAGGGTGCATTCAGAAAAGTTCTTCATGAGTTCCCATAAAGAAGGACTAGAGGACACCAAAGGAAAGGAATGGGTAGCAGGCTTGAAACTAGTAAGAGAAAGTTGTTCTTGACAAAGCAAATAGTTAACCTGTGGAACTCCTTGCTGCAGGAGGCTGTGAAGGCTACAACTAGAACAGAGTTTAAAGGGAAGTGAGATCAAGTCATGGAGGTTGGGTCCATGGAGTCCTATTAGCCAGAGGGTAGGAGTGGTGTCCCTGCCCAAAGTTTGTGGAAGGCTGGAGAGGGATGGCACGAGACAAATGGCTTGATCACTGTCTTCGGTCCATCCCCTCCAGGGTCCCTAGGGTTGGCCGCTGTTGGCAGACAGGCTACTGGGCTAGATGGACCTTTGGTCTGACCCAGTACGGCCATTGTAAGCTCAGGGCTCAGGGTCGGGGGTCTCAGTGGACCCCCTTGATTTTCATGCACACCTGGTCCTGGGTGGCCAGGCTGGCAGCTCTCCTGCCCTAGACGGCCACTTTCCTGTGCCTAGTGCAGAGATCGTGGACAAGGCAGGGTCTGCTAGCTGGGTGCTGGCAGGCTTGCACCTGGCACGGGCACCGTAGCCAGCCCGTGCCCCTTTAAGGGGTCCGGGGCCGGGAGGGGGGCATAGAGTTTCCCTGGTGTTGGCCAGAGTGGCCACCAGGGAAACCTGGGAAGCCTTAGGCTCCCACTAGTTCGAACTAAAGGGCTACACAGCCCTTAGTTCGAACTAGCTAGTTCGAACTAGGCGTTAGTCCTCGTAAAATGAGGTTTACCTAGTTCGAACTAAGCGCTCCGCTAGTTCGATTCAAATTCGAACTAGCGGAGCGCTAGTGTAGCACCTATTAAAGTTAGTTCGAACTAACGTCCGTTAGTTCGAACTAACTTTGTAGTGTAGACATACCCTAAGGTGCTACAGGACTCCTCATCGCTTTTGCAGATCCAGACTAACACGGCTACTGCTCTGATAGTAGATTGAGTGTAGTCCCATTGATTTTGAAGAGTAAGTACCATGTTCCTTGGTTAAGTGTTAATATGTTGGAGTGCTAAATCATGGCATTCTGTAGTCTCTCATCCAGTCCCACTTATGCAACCACTTCTATTGCTCGTCTCTTGACCTTAGCCTCATCTACAATCCTTGAGTTTAGGCAACCTATGCCCCAAGTGTGTGGGGCAGGCTAATTGTTCGTCTGTCTTAATGGTAAACATATTAAGGAAACAAGATTATATTATCCAGAGGTCTTGTAAGTGAATTTTGTGAGAGTTCTGCAGTGAGTCTGGGGAGAGCCCATGAGAATATACAATGACCCTGGAATTGCAGGGTCGCCATTATATGCTACTCATCACCCTTAGCCATGAATTTCATTGACTGGGGTTTGGAGTCATTATTTTATGCTAAATTGATCCCAATCCTCCAAACACTGACACGCAGTAGTCCATTGGAATTGCATGCATGAGTACAACTACCTGTGTGTGTTTGCAGGATCAGCCATTAAAGACACAGTGAGTGATACTTACCTTTCTAAAGTTTAAAGTATTATATAGATCCATAACTGTCTACAGTGGAATGAACAGACCAAAATACAATACAAATATTCAATAAGAAAGAAAGAAAGAAAGAAAGAAAGAAAGAAAGAAAGAAAGAAAGAAAGAAAGAAAGAAAGAAAGAAAGAAAGAAAGAAAGAAAGAAAGAAAGAAAGACATTGACTGCACTACAAAAGCAGACACAAATGTAATGTGTATATTTGAGAGAATGTACGGGTTAAGAGCATAGGACTGGGAGTCAAAACTTAGATTTTAGACCTCTGTAAAAAAACAACACTTAAATGTTTCTATGTTTCTAAAGACAAAAATGTATGTTTCCTTCAGCCAAATTCTGGGCCCAACAACCTTGATGATGTCTCTATAATTTCTGCCCTTCATACCAACAGGACAAAAAGGAAGTAATTCATTATAAAGTGAGCAACAAAGCGAAAAAGCACACCACTGTATCTCATTGCATGGTGGAGTACATGCTACAGAGCCTTCCAAATGCCTATAGATCTAAGGATTTCTTAACCACCAGATATAATACCATCACAAAGGGAAATGTCTAAATAAGTTGCTACCTTTTCTGCAGAACAGTGACTAGTTCTGTGAGTCTGTCTCTTTCCACCTCAGCAGCATGGCAAAGAGCCTTGTATTCTGTGATCTGTGTCTGCAACGCTTTCTGACCCGGGCTCTCGGTATCAGCAATCCTAAGAAACAACAAAAACTTTAAAAGAGATGCGTTTATTTTCCATGGTTGAATGACTCTGGAGCAAAGACAGGTTTGAAAAATGAACCAAATGCCTCCTAATCAGGGTACAAAACAGTGGTGCAGCCAATAGCTGGGTCCTCCAACTCCAACCACCACCCATCCTGCAATATGTAGAAACAAAAGTGTTGTGGGACTTCACTTGGACGGGCCTCCCTCCTCTCGCTGGCTGGTCTTCTTTTACCCCAATCAAATCTCTCCCTTAAAGCCACACATTGTTTGTTTAACCTTCCAGAGCTGACCTACTCCCCAAGTCCTGCTGCCATCCTTGCGCTATGACCCACTGTACTGAGCCTGTCCTTGCATTCTGCAAAGCACTAGGCATACTCATGACAATCTATTAAATAACAGCGTTTCAGTGAGCAGTGATTTCCCCCAACAGAAAGAGTTGCAGGAGATCTGCATTCTTTTGCCTGCAATCTGATGCAAGTAGCCAGGAAGATTTCCCAGGCATCCCATTATGTGCGTGCCTTATCTCCTCCCCCATGGACATACAGAGGAATGTCAAGAGCAGGCACCTATACTGCAAGCATTGGGAGGTGGGACCGAAACCCAGAATTAACAGAAACTAAGAGAACGCAAACAAGAGCCAGCCTAAGTCAAAACACTGTGGTGTGATCCACAAGAAAGGAGCTTCTCTGCTACAAAAATCAGGGCCCCTCGCTAGGTTTAGGGACATTAGCTGATGCAGACAGGGCGAAGAGGATGCTGGTCTCTGTGTGGTGGGTGCCGATGGAATTTCCCCTACGGCTCTACAAAAGACAGTAAACATACCTCCCAGGTGCGACACTGTTACTTGGAAGCGAAGGCCTAGTAGCTGCAGATTCTACAAGAGTGTGCCCCATATTAGTCACAGTGCTATGAGGAAAAAACAAAAAAAACTCTACATAATAAAGTCCTAAATCTGGCACTGTCAGCGGTTCTACAGGGTGTGTGTTCATCACTGCCCTCTACTGAACAGAATGTCAGATCAGCTTATGTGCAGGTGATCATGTCTCCCCTCTTGGGGCCCGCCACCAGCAGAATAGGTAAGGTAAGCCAGAGTGCTACAGCACATACTACAAATCTCTCATGGGTTACAGCCGGTTAATCCATTCCAAGACGAGGTAAGAATGGTAATAATGACAATAGTGCTCTAACTGAGCCCAAACAAAGTATTTCCATTATGGAATTCCCTGGGTTGTTTGTATTCCCTAAAGAGAATAAAAATGGATCCCCTTTTACTTACAGAAAAGATCCAATAAAAATGCTATCAAAATAGCAATATAAAGATAGAATTTTTCATTTAATCTTTTCTGTAAGTAAAAGGAGATCATTTTAAACTTTTGTAATAAATACAAAGGATTGTTCATCGAATTGTTCACTCGGTGCATAGTCAACCTGTGGAACTCCTTACCAGAGGATGTTGTGAAGACTAGGACTTTAACAGGGCTCAAAAAAGAGCTAGATAGATTCACTGAGCTTGAGTCCATCAATGGCTATTAGCCAGCATAGGTAGGAATGGTGTCCCTAGCCTCTGTTTCTCTGGAAATGGGTGACAGGAGAGGGATCACAGATGATTACCATTGTGTTCCCGCCCTCTGGGGCATCTGGCATTAGCCACTGTCAGCAGACAGGATACGGGGCTAGATGGACCTTTGGTCTGACCCAGTATGGCTATTCTTATGAAATATTAATATTACGGGAGTGAACAGTGCCAACTTAGCTAACAATGGCTCTTGCAGTGTTTGGCATTGTTCAGTGTACATGTAGCTATCTAAATATTTTCCTTACATAGCTGTGTTAGCTATGCGTGCTAGAGAGCTGGAGCAATTTGAACAACATGCGGATAATATACGGCTTTGCCATCTGAAAGCACAAAAACTTGTTTTGAGGATTTACAAATGAAAGCATCAAAATCACAGGGGTCATACCTCTGGAGACACTTCTACTGCATAATAAACCACGGCTCCAAAATCCAGGCTGTAACAACAGAGTGAGAGGAAGTATTCTAGCTGCAGGAGCTGTGTGCCGTTTCTAAGCTATGAGCCAATGCAAAACAATGTGCTCACAACACACAAAAGACTGTGATCCTGTTTCCGTTAAGTCAATGCAAAACCCTACTATTGACAACAAAGGAAGTAGGATCAAACCCAACAAAAATGGCTAACATTTTTGTTTAATTACCACCTATTTGCTTCAACTACAACTGGTGCATGAGTTTTCAAGCAGATTTTATGAAAACCTTACACTAACTGCCTGAGTCTCCGTTGCAAAGGTTACTTTTTACCACACTAAGGGTATGTCTAAACTACATGGCTCCGTCGACGGAGCCATGTAGATTAGGCTGATCAGCAAAAGGAAATGAAGCCGCGATTTAAATAATCGCGGCTTCATTTAAATTTAAATGGCTGCTGCGCTGAGCCGACAAACATCATCCTACGAGGCATAACGGGGAGTTCGATAAAGGGCTTTCAGGTCGGCACGGGAGCGTCCAGACTAGCACGCTGAGCCGACAAACAGGTGATCAGCTGTTTGTCGGCTCAGCGCGGCAGCCCTTTAAATTTAATTTCCCTCTGCTGATCAGCCTAATCTACATGGCTCCGTCGACGGAGCCATGTAGTTTAGACATACCCTTAGTGTGGTAAAAAGTGACCTTTGCAACGGAGACTCAGGCAGTTAGTGTAAGGTTTTCATAAAATCTGCTTGAAAACTCATGCACCAGTTGTAGTTGAAGCAAATAGGTGGTAATTAAACAAAAATGTTAGCCATTTTTGTTGGGTTTGATCCTACTTCCTTTGTTGTCAATAGTAGGGTTTTGCATTGACTTAACGGAAACAGGATCACAGTCTTTTGTGTGTTGTGAGCACATTGTTTTGCATTGGCTCATAGCTTAGAAACGACACACAGCTCCTGCAGCTAGAATACTTCCTCTCACTCTGTTGTTACAGCCTGGATTTTGGAGCCGTGGTTTATTATGCAGTAGAAGTGTCTCCAGAGGTATGACCCCTGTGATTTTGATGCTTTCATTTGTAAATCCTCAAAACAAGTTTTTGTGCTTTCAGATGGCAAAGCCGTATATTATCCGCATGTTGTTCAAATTGCTCCAGCTCTCTAGCACGCATAGCTAACACAGCTATGTAAGGAAAATATTTAGATAGCTACATGTACACTGAACAATGCCAAACACTGCAAGAGCCATTGTTAGCTAAGTTGGCACTGTTCACTCCCGTAATATTAATATTTCATAAGAATAGCCATACTGGGTCAGACCAAAGGTCCATCTAGCCCCGTATCCTGTCTGCTGACAGTGGCTAATGCCAGATGCCCCAGAGGGCGGGAACACAACAGGTAATCATCATGTGATCTCTCTGCTGTCACCCATTTCCAGACAAACAGAGGCTAGAGATACCATTCCTACCCATCCTGACTAATAGCCATTGATGGACCCAACCTCCATGAACTTATCTAGCTTGTTTTTGAACCCTGTTAAAGTCCTAGTCTTTACAACATCCTCTGGCGAGGAGTTCCACAGGTTGACTGTGCGCTGTGTAAAGAAAAACTTCCTTTTGTTTGTTAAACCTGCCACCTATTCATTTCATTTGGTGACCCCCCCTAGTTCTCATATTATGGGAACAAGGAAATAACCGTTCCTTATTCACTTTTTCTAGTCGCCTGAAAACTTCAAGTCTGAAAAGCTGAAAAGTTCAAGTCTTTTTAATCTCTCTTCATACGGGACCTGTTCCAAACCCCTCGTCCTTTTTGTTGCCCTTTTCTGAACCTTTTCCAATGCCGAGAGATCTTTTTTGAGATGAGGCAACCGCATCTGTAGGCAGTATTCAAGATGTGGGCGCACCATGGTTTTATAATATATTCTCTATCTTATTCTCTATCTCTTTTTTAATGATTCTTAACATTCTGTTTGCTTTTTTGCGGCCGCTCCTCATTGAGTGGATGTTTTCAGAGAACTATCCACTATGGCTCCAAGATCTCTCTTGAGTAAGTTGTAGCTAAATTGTTCCCCATCATATTGTACGTATAGTTGGGATTATTTTTTCCAATGTGCATTACTTTACATTTATCAACATTACATTTCTTTTGCCATTTTGCTGCCCAATCACTAAGGGTACGTCTAGACTACATGCCTCTGTCGTCAGAGGCATGTAGATTAGGCTACCCGGCATAGGGAAACGAAGCTGCGACTTAAATAATCGTGGCTTCATTTAAATTAAAATGGCTGCCACGCTCTGCCAACCAGCTGATGATCAGCTGTTTGTCGGCAGGTCAGGGCAGTCTAGATGCACCGCGGTTGACAAGGAAACCTTTGTCGACCGGCGCAGGTATACCTCGTTTCCCTATGCCGGGTAGCCTAATCTACATGCCTCTGACGACAGAGGTATGTAGTCTAGACATACCCTTAGGGTACATCTAGACTGCAAGCCTTTTTCGAAAGAGAGCATCTAGACTGCAACCACTTCTTTCGAAAAAGCGAGGCGCTTTTTCGAAAGAGAGCACCCAGGCAGTCTGGATGCTCTCTTTCAAAAAAGACCAGTTTGCATTCAA